CTCATACAGGTTTAGAACAACAACATCATTTTCATTTTTGAGTGAGCTATTCCTCTAAAGCAGCCTAATAGTATGTAGTTTTGGTTGTTTGCTTACTGGCCTAAGTAAAATAAATAAATAAATAAAAACATCCAAGTTTCCATGAAATATGTGCCAATACAAGTTTTTCATCCTTTTTATCATCTGACAAAAAAGTGAGTTTGGTCACTTAGAAATGTAGGAGCACACATCTAACAGTTCACATGATTTGAGCTATCATTCATATCCATATGGTGATGCAGGAGGATTTAGAGTTAGGGGTTTGTTCAAAAACTTTATCCCAATTATAAGGCAATAGTATTGATACTTGCCCTACTCTTTATGTGACCGAGTGGATAATAAGGATGGTGTACGGGGTGGGGCATAGGTATTTATTTTGTCCTATAAATAGCGCAAAGGTTGGCAGGTTGCGTGACTTCCTGACGTTTGATCCTTTCCGTCTCCTTCCGGTGCTGTGACCCTGAAGCGCTATAGCGAGGTATGAGCGTGGCATTTGTTTAGATGCTGTAAGAGCTTGTACAAGGACGTTTTTGTTTCTTTACATGGTTTATTCTATGTTAATTGCAGAGAGATAACCCCCTGATGCAAGAGTGTGAGCGCGTGGGCTGTATGTAATATTATGCAAGTTGCGGACGCTGTGTTTCGCCTATAGCAACGAGCCGTATCACGCAGGGCTTCTATTCCACTCTATTATGCAGCGTTTCTAGTCCACTTTTGGATTACGGCAGAGGTATGTGTTTGTGATAGATGGTTAGAGTTGTTATAGTGATAATATTTATGTATAATTATTGGGTGATGTAAAGGATTGTGTTTTGAGTGGTTACGACGCTGTGTTAGTTGCGCTGTGACAGGCGTTTTATTTGTGTTGATTTGATATTGTTTATTTAGTTTGTTAAAGATTGATAAAGTTGTTTTGTATTTATGTTTTTGCTTTTCTGTTTGGCAGATCTTCCTCTGTGGAGTTCTATGCATATGGACCTCTGATGTCTAGGCCCTGCTGTTTTGCTTAAAACTTATTTTTATATAAGTTTTAAGCTGATGGTCATATGCTGATGTTTGTTTTGAAGTTATTTTTTTATCTGTTATTATTGATTTTGTCAGCTGTGTCCTGTTTGTACCAACCGCTAGGGGTCTATATGATGTGTGGAGAAAAGGGGAGTTTTTAACCCATTTTTCTATATTCTAGGGGCCAGCCTGCGTGGGAATACTTTCCTCTGGGGTCATCTGGGTCTTTCCTTTACTGAATGTGGCGTGAAGTTTCCTGCACTGCATGGGTATTGATTTGAGAGTGTAGAGTTATTTGTATTATTCACTACACCTTTTTAAATTTGTTGGTTGGTGCACGTTAGTGCACGTGTGGTGTGTGTGCTCTTGAGGTTGTGGGTCTTTGGCCCAGTGACTTCTTCTTTTCTTCCCGCAGGTTTGGTTGATCTTGCATTCAGGAATTGTGGGTTATGATTTTAATATTTGACTTAAAGTCTAGACATCTTAAAATTGCGATCCTCTCTTTTTAGATGGTTATAATTGTGAAGTTGATTGCTTACTCAGAGATTTCAGTACTGATGGAAATGTGAAGTTGATCGCTTACTCAGAGCTTCCAGGATTGTTAATAAAAGTGTTGTCCTTGAAGGTCACGTCTCTGTTCTTCATTCACTAGCTATAGAACTTGTGTTGCTGTGTTTAATTATTTCCGTGGGTAACTAACCTCGGTGGCGTAGTCGGAATCCAGCTGATCATTGGATATCGCTCGGTTACATCTAGTAGGAGGTGCCAAATATTCCATGTTCACCTGTTATTTTCAGTTTTGTTTGAACTCAAATCTTGTTAAACATGCAGTGGTTTACAAAGATATGACACCTGAACATAAGATTAATGGAAAATATGCACTATCTATGTTTTGATGTTTTTAAATGTTAATCCAGCTTGTGTGTACATTTAAATATTATTTATAAAGTGTGCAGATGAGGTTACATCATGATTTGAACATCAAATTAATGCTAAACTGTG